CGTTGATATACCATTATTTAATTTACTCGCCAAACAATGGCTTTTGTTTTCTGAGCTCATTAAACTCTAGCACGAACTTCACAAAGTGGGTCAAAACCAGACATGAGACATATGTCTTATGCATAAAAGGTCTATTAGATCAGTACGAAGGCAAGGAGAAGTACGAATTAGGTGATCCTGAAGCGACTCTCCAACCGGTTACTTTTACTAGAATCCAAAATCAACACGAAAAGGAAAGAGAAAAAAACATTCTTTAAATGTCCTACTTCAGATAAATAGGCAAGGAAAAATCTTCAGGTTACTAGAATACAGAATACACATAAAAAGTAAAGAAAACTTCACGGCCTGTGAGCAGCGTTACTGGACATCTCTCAACTCCCCACACCATGTCTTTGAATACAACGGTTCTCCTTGCTAATGCGACTTTTTCCGATTTCATGCAAGAAACTCTTCCGAAAAAAATTATTAAGGTAATGGTTTACTGCATCCTATTTGTAGTGTCATTCACTGGTAACCTGCTTATTGTATGGGCAACAAGCAGAGACATTCGACTAAGAAGTACGACCAATATTCTGATTGCCAACATGGCGGTCAGTGACCTTCTCATTCCTTTATTCTCGGTGCCAAAACGTATGCTATATATCACCTATTATGACAATATTTGGTTGATTGACGGTGACTTTGGACTAGCTCTTTGTAAGCTCGCACCTTACCTGCAAGACGTTTCTTTGGGTGTTTCGATTTACAGCTGTGTGTTTATCGCTCTTGATCGCTTCTACGCTGTAGTTCATCCACTCAGAGGAGGTTTGAGCAGAAGAAAACTCAAGTACATCATTGTAGGGATCTGGATGTTTTCTTTGGCCATGTTTTCCACATATTTCTTTACTTTTACGCTTGTGAAGACAGGAGATTCCACAAAATGCATCATGGATTTCACAAGAATCGGTGTTACAACAATCCTACACTTGAGGATTTATCATTTTGTAATGTTTGCGCTGAATGTTGGAATCCCATTACCTATCATCTCTTTCCTCTACTTACGTATCGTTCTCAAGCTCCGACGAACTGCAGTACCAGGACAAGCAGGGAACACTTCATCTGTGAGGGAGCGTCAAAACAAGAATGCCCTCAAAATGTCCGCCGTTATTGTCAGCCTTTTCTTCCTAAGCTTTGTACCCATAGTAATTGTCATTTCTCTGTCAATTTTTGGAAAACTTGATAGCTTATCACCGGCTGCAGGGAAAGATTTACTTTTCTCAGTGGCATTCATTGGAGAATCGAGTTGCTGCTTTAATTTCTTCATCTATTTGGTGTTCACTAAAGTTTATCGTCAAAATTTCAAAAACTTGTTATCAAAATGCACCTGTGCCAATCCTTGTTCCGAAAGAATTCGCACCACATCTTTTGCTCTTGAGAGTGTTGCACCAGTGACGGAACAGGGACAAGTCAACGTGATTGGAATAACCGACCTTAATTAAATTGGATACTGTATGAAACTTTCTAAGGTTATGGTATATAGGGATAAAGTTATAATAAGGTCGGATAAGTACGATTAGGCTAAGGTCAAACGTCGACCTTCACTTGAGCCGTACCTAAGGGAACGAACGATAATAGTGAAACTTTTTTTGTTTTGCAGACAGAAAATGCATTTAATTTCTGCATGACTGAAAGCTCGCCATTTTCTGAATGTTTCATTCTAGATTAGAACTAGACCCTTGTTCCAAGGATACACTCGTGCCCTGTGGGCGTGAGTAGTGTTGGGCATTTGTTTTGTGCTGGGGGCTGTAGAGGGGTTAAGGCCGGCATAGAAGTGTCTGAGAGAAAAATCACTCAAATATAAAACAAGTGAACACCGAAACAAGGAAATTAAATGAAGTATTAGGAAATAAATAGTGTGAGGGCACTAGATCACTAACATGTGTGATACAGTAGATAAACACTATTATATTCTTTTCTTCGAGTCTACTTGACTATTACATATTGAGTATTAGGGGTTTCACATTTTTATGTTTTCACTCTGAATTGCCCTAATTCACTATGACGTCACATCAAAACAATCTTCAGCAATCTATTGTTTAAACGCAAAGGATCTTGGTCGTCGGACGGGGTCAAATCAACGCAAATTCACCGAAAATTGTTCTAAAACCCGTATCAATCCACGAAGAGAAGTAGAATAGCCAGCAAACGCTCAGAATATTTTTGAGTACATATTAACCCATATTATATCTGAAAACCAGGCCATTTTAGATTAAACTGTTTCGCTAGGAGCAAATTTTGTTGAATTTTCTATTGGATTTGGCGATTCTATCCCCCACATAAACAAGCCGTGACGTCATAGTGAATTAGGTCAATTGTAAGTGTTGGTGGAGAGTGCAAGGGAATGGAAATGAAATCTTTAAAGATCACTGAACATTGGAAAATAACTTACTCTACTTCAAAGACAAAGCTAAAAAAAACAACTTTATTTAACATTATTGTTATAAAGGCGTCAAAACAAGAATTGGCCTCAAAATGTCTGCCGTTATTGTCAGCCTTTACTTCATAACTTTTTTTACCTCTTACGGTGATTATTTTCCTTTCACGTTTTGGAAAACTTGATAGCTTATCACCGGCTGCAGGGATCGATTTACTTTTCTCGGTGACATTCATAGCCGAATCGAGTTACTGCTACAACTTCTTCATCTAACGTATAGTCGTTTTTCACTAACGTAAAAGGAATAATTTCAAAAACTTGCTTTCAAAATGCACGTTTCAATACTTGTTCAGGAAGATGGCACACCAAATCTTTTGCTCTTGAGAATGTGGCACCAGTCACGGATGGAACAGGTACTAGTTAACGTGATACTTAGTATTAACATAACATAACATAATGGTTTATTTACAATTCATCACCTTGTATACAGAAAAAAGAAGAAAGAAAAGCAAAAGCATGAAAAACTGTGAAAGGAGGTGAAAGAGGTTATCCCTATCTAGTTCACCTCCTTAACAAAAATTACAAACAATTAAGAACATTCTAAAATTTAAACATTGAAGTTTACGCATATCTACAAATATATATAAAAACTATGAACAATACTGAAATAATTGTATCACTGGTGTAGTATTGAAGCATTAATTGAACATATCAATGCTCAGTTTTTTCTTAAACGTTTTCAGATTATCTGCTTCTGCAATTGCTTGAGGAAGCTTATTCCATGGATTTACCATGCGTATAAAAAAAGAATGTTTATAACTGTTCAGTTTGGCAGATTGTGTCTTAAGCTTAAAGCGATGATTGGATCGTAATGATCTAAACTTACTAGCAAAGATAAAGAATTCTTGASGGTTCAAACCGTTCAGTTCATTGATCGTTTTCTGTTAAAGATGTTCCTTTGAAGTTCCTTTGTTTTACTAACAGCAACTGAAGTATACCACGGTTTATATTGCCTCAAGGTCTTCCTAATACCAAAATATGAACGAATTCGATTTTTCGGCTGTTGCCGGCGTATGGTCGATTTTCGCTGACATCCTCCGTCTTAATCGTTCACTTTTATGATATTTCAGCAATAAATATCATTTCCAAGTTTACCAAAATAAAACAGTAGTAAGTACTTACGCAGCCGAACAATGAACTATCATCCCATCTGGAGTAACGATGATGTGGCTTGACATGAAGTGTTTCTTTTTGTCGCCTCTATAAAACATTG